ATTTGTTTTCAGTCTTGACATTGCTGTTAAACTGCTCATCCGTGTAATACTTGCAGTTATTTTCAAAGTTCTTGAAAAAGTTTTTTTCAGGGTCAAAGCCATCGTCCGGTTCATGATAATGAATTTCAGTGTCTCCAAATGTGTTCAGTTCCAGATCCAGTCCCTCAAAAACTATTAACTTCTGTAACAAATCACTTGCCTCATATCGTCCATTGGTCATGCTTGTTATTGTTGGTTCCAATTCTCATCTGCCATCGCAGATATCAATATACCTGCATGTTTCTTCAGACCGCTGAGGGTCCAGCAGCCCCTTCATACTCTCCGTGTCTAGGCGTGCTGGTCATGGGTCCAAGATCCTGGTTCCGAGGTCGGGTCACCAGTTTGTCGTATCGCAGAAACGCGATTTCTCCACTCTCCATAGCCGCTCTTAACATCGGCATCAATTCTCTTCTTCTCTTCCTCACAGACTCGGGGTAATCTTCGTTGATGTAAATATTGGTTCCCTTAAGCTTCTTTGCTGGTTTTGTAGACGTCCCGCCTAGTGTCTTCGGCAATTTTTTCCTGCACCCCCACGACCGCTTCAACCGCGTCCACATCTCGCTGGGTAAACTGCAAACTTGTTTTTATCTCCTGCATTTCTTTGGTCATGTCGTCGAGTCTCTTGTTATTTGTCTCCATAATTAGTTTCACAAAGCCTTGGAAACTTTCATGCTGTTGGCACATAAGCGCGGTGAACATCAGCTTCTGCTGATTCAACATCTCAGCTACTTGTGCCGCTGAAATAGAATCTTCTTCAGCCTCAACATCCTCGCTCGCTTCGGATTTATTAGCTCTTTTCCCTCTTGGAGGCATTTTAGTAGTTGTAGAATTTGTTCAAAGACTTGACAATGTAGAAGATGTGAAAAATCGTAGAACAGACAAGAGGAGCAGTAAAGACGTCTGCTCTCGCTTGCAACCCGGAAACTGAAGTATTTCGCACTCCACACACTTACTTAATTAAGATGTCTCTTCTCTTCCAGGGAAGGTGCAGCAGTGACTCACACAGCTCTGAGGAGGCTGGAGGTGGAGGAAGTCATATAGGAATCCACCAGACTCAGACTGTGGTGCAGAGCCAAGTGCAGGCCATGCGTCAGCCCTGCAGGGCCCTTTGCAGTAGTGTTGAGATGGAGACTACACTACAGAAGATGGAGGTACAAACTCACCAACCTCACTGCAGCCCTGGTGAGTACATCCAGATAAGTTAAATTCAGTGTATTAGCAGGTTTGTTCTCACAGCAATGTATAAAGGATGTATGTAATAGTATAGATTTAAATTTGTGTTAGCAGGTGTGCACACGAGTTTAATTCCAGTTTGATTTCTTGCTCTGGTTGGCATGTCACACTTCAAATTAAGTGGTGGGTCAATTAAGAGTAGAACATCTAACCATCATTTATTCTGCTTATCCTAACAAGGGTCATGTAGACAAACAACCACACACACACACACACACACACGCACTCACTCCTACAGGTAATTTAGAGTCACCAATCAACCTAAGCTGCATGTCTCTGGTCTGTGGGAGGAAGCCAAAGTACCGAGAAAACCCATGCAGGCGCAGGGAGATCATGCAAACTCTGCACACAAAGGCACTTGGTTGTGCCAGAGCTCAAACCCAGAACCTTCTTGCTGTGAGGCGACAGCACTAACCACTGCTCCACCATGCCACCAGAGTAGAACATATAATCTTAAATTAAAGGACAAGTCAATTCATTTGTATGTACAGGTCCCATAATGTTCTTCTAAACAAAGAGGAAGAGAGATGACAACGAGCTGTTGAACCTGCACAATAAATTGTCAAAACTGATCTGTGTTGCATCTGTAGATATGCAAATTAACCCAGGTATTACCTTTTGTTTAGGTTGATTAAACTTAGTTTCTATTCGCTGCACAGCAACAACAGGTCCTAAGATGAATCTGTGTAGCCTGTGATGTATGGGGTTTATAAAAATACTCCGACGCTATAGCTGGATCAATATACATTATTTAGATGAAAAATGTTTTCTCAAGCAAAGAATATTCACTAGAGAAGTGGAAACAATGCATGAATTGACACCAGGAGACAAATGAAAACAATGTGTTCCCTCCCCAAGGTGGTGTGTCCCACAGCAGCAACAAGGAGAGAAGCAAAGAAGGAGATGGAGGAGCCCGTGGCATTTCTTCTCTCTTCCACCTGCCTACAGAGTTCTTCCACCCTGCAGGAGGGACCATCCCAGCACCTCTGCGCAGCAGGAGCCTACGGTTGACAAGGGGCCTTAGGCTGACCTCCCCAGTCTCCTGGGCTTCACTCCGCTCCCCAGGAGCCCACAGAAAGATGCTCTGTACACAGGTAGGGTGAGGGGGGTAAAGTTTTATTCAGGTGTAGGCTTCAATAAATCATTGGCTTAATGTTAAAGATAAAGCAAAGGTGTGGTTTTGTGCTCATCTGGATGAGAAGTGAAATTTAGTCACTGACAACAGATGATAAAATATGAAATAATTATGAAAATGATTTTGAAACCAGTGTTGAAAATGTGATACAAATTTCTGTGTGGTCATTAAAATGTCATGTGCTCTTTCCTAATGGGAAAAAGAGTTGGTTTTATGTGCTGTAATTTCTTTTTCTACTCCTCTTCCTCCCTGTCTTCTTCAGTACCCGTCCCACAGTGACTCATCCCTTGCTACGGGCAGCTCTGAAGGCAGCCTCCAGACCACCCTGGAAGAGGGACTGAGCTTCAGCATCTCTCCACCACAGAATCTAGAGCCGACAGCTCCCTCACCACTCATGTGCCCACTCCCACTGCCTGAAGACAGCACTACCCTTTCCTCTCTGGTCCAGACTCTAAGACTGAGGCCAAGTTCCTCATCGGGACTAACCCTCCAGGCTACCAGGGGCCACCAGCGGAGCCAGAGCAGCGGGAGAGGTAGCACCAGCCCTGGCTACACGCGTGATGACTCAATTGACCCTTCAGATGAGGACCTGGGTATAGGCATTGGATCATCTACTGGTGGTTGTGGCTCCAGCCAAGCAGGCAATAGTGAAAACTTGTCAGAGACACTGAGCAGCTTGTCGCTAACATCACTGCTGTCACCCAGCTCCCTGGTGTACCCAGGGGGAGCAGTGAAGAAGTGCAACAGCACAGGGAGCCTGGACCAAGGGGGGATGCTGCTGTCATCCCGGGGCAGGGAAGGCCGCAGGGAGATTCTGGGCCTAGAGCTTATGGACCCCCAGGGGTTCTTGGCCAATCCCTGGAAAGGGGTATTACTTGATACAAGAAGAGGAGAAGGAAGAGGGGAAATAGAAGATGGAGAGCAAGGATTCAAAGGGAAGAGCTCAAGCCAAACAACAGTAGGGCCTTGTCGGAAAAACAGATGAAACCTGCTGTTTATTCTCCGTTTGTCTCTCCATTCCTTGGATCGAAGCCCATTGCTGTTCCTCTCATTCTCTCTGCTCCCATCAGTGATAGAGAGGGTTGATGACACATGATGTCCTGTTTTCCAAAACAAAACCCTCATCTTACCCCTTTAACCCCTTTCGGTACATTTGTGACAAGCCCTTGTCCTATTTTGTGCTACCTACCGGAGTGGACTTTGTTATGGTCTGCTGGTGAGGAAGTGTCCTGCAGAGTTAATGGAGCTGACGATAGCTCCATATACCTCCATATAGAGGTTGTACCTGCAGAGGAGATTCTGCTCACACTGGAAGACCAAGAGGCCCATTCACATCAGGGAATCAGTAGGAGCAGAAATAAAACAGCTTAAACTCAAAGATGCAAGAAAAAGTCTTGGCACTCTACTCTAGTTTTTATTAATTTATTTACTTGTGTTGGCTTGGGTTCACTGAGGTTGAAAATGCAAAAATAGAGGTACCCAGACCGAAATAGCTATTCATACCAACAGAGACTGTTTTGTTTCATTTATGTCTCAGAGGCAGTGCAACAAGAAGTAAGTGGGCAGAGGCTCTGAGATGGTGGAATATATCAAGGCGGAAGAAAGGCTGGGAAAGGAGAAGGCAGGTCATTTGTTTGGCTTTGAAAGCAGAAAGCGGATCTAATGTCCATCTGTTCTGGCAGACGGAAACAACAGGTCCTACTCACTCTGGCACAGGACCTTCTGCTGAGCTCAGTGTAATTTGCAAGGTGGAGGAGAGTTCAAGAGTGTGTGCACATAGTGTGTGTTTGAGTGTGAGAGCACTGTCTCAGGTATCCATGGCATAATTTAAATCATTCTCATCACGTCACCATACCTCTGTTTTTGAAACAGGAAATAGTTATTGCCCGATCAAAGCTTTGTGCCTCTGTCAACCTGGTCGTGAATGACAGTGGAAAATTAAAAGAAATAGACAGATTGTGCAGCTATACAGTATCCAGGCATGGAGTGATTCATGAAATTGGTTATTTTTCTGTCTCTCTACAGCATCTTTCACTCACTCAGACATGGAGAAATGAGGATGAAAAAGAGCTAGGTTGGATGGAGCTTTACAACCCCCATCAAAAGAAACAATCATATGTGTGTGGTGCAGCCTTGTGTGCACCAAGAAATGGTTCACAGCTACGTAATAAAGTGAGACTACAAGCACACTCCTTCATCTCACCATGTTTAAGGATTTAAGATGAATGAACAAAACCACAAGAACTGTGAGGGACCTTGACTGCATGATGGAATTGCATTTAACCAAGAGTTTTATCTATATACAGAAGTGTATCAAGATGTCAATGTTGGGTGATAACCATGTGATTTCTAATCCACTATTTTTGTAGGAAACAGAATAGGCACCTGCAAGTGTTTCCATTACTTTGTCCCTATTTAATTTAACCCATATGGTCTCTCTGACTTGTTGTCTAGGACTTTGTCTGCCAGTGACTTCCAGTTTTATAACATTTTTTAAAGTGCGGACAGTGTACAAAACAACAAAGCAAAAAATTTCCAACAAACTATGTGGGCTGAAGTGATTGTTCCCTCCAGCACATTTCTCCTTGGGAACACTGGTTCCTCGTGGATTTTTCTCAGATGTTGGAGTCCCAGAGGACAACCAGAGACAGGAACAGCCATATTCACCCAGCACATGAGGATTGCTATAGCTCACACACATTCCTGGCTGCACACAGTGAACTGTGTTTGCTTTTTAGCCTCCTATGCTAAAAAAAACCCATGAATAGTGTAAACCATCTCTATGAAAGCTTTAATTTGAGAGTTACACCGCAACATATCGATCACAGACATATTAGTGTTTCTTAAGCATGGTTCTGGGATTGCAATACAGTATTCTGGAAATGACGTCCTGATGCACTCATCTTCTCTTCCCCGTCCCTTCACACATACAGTGTGTTGTAGCAACCATTTCACACACCATAGTTTGATATTAAAAGCTAATTTAAAAAGAAGACAAAAAAACTAAACTTTGCATCTTTGAATGCAAGCTTATTTTGGCTTCTGACACTTACTCTGTCCACAAGGTGATGCTTATCTTTAAGCCTGACTTCTAGAGGTAGACTGTTGCATCCCCAGTGTTTTAATCAGTACCTTACTTTTTAATTTCTCAAAAAGGACTGAGGAGATGTGAGAAAATCTGCGGGTTTGACCTTTTTTACCATGCAAAATCACTTTGATGACTATGTTTATCACATGGTATTAGGTATTAATGAATGGGTAAAGACAATGTGTATTTGTGTGTGTGTGTGTGTGTGTGTGTGTGTGTGTGAGTGAGACCAGAGATTAAAGATATCAAAGAGGGAAACATGACACAACCAAGGGCTGTTTTAGCTTCAAAGATATATCCTCCTATCTTTCTGAGACAAATCCTTGTGTCAATGAAAATGGAATCAAAGGTTAAAGCCTGACTACACAGCAATAAATGTTCTATGTGTATGCCCTGCCTAAATGATGTCATGGTGATTTTTATCTCCTCAGAATACAACAGTATTCATTACTGCCTGTTTTTGCTTCTACTTGTCTGAACTAACAACCAATCAGATCAGCACCTCTGCCCTCTCAGAGACCAGTCAACAGAGAGATGGGCTGCAATTGGCAGACATGAACAAATGAGGATGATGAACTCAGGTTGGGGGGTAAAAACCACAAGTAAAATTTTAAAGACAGCTGTAAAGGTGTGGTCAGACTGAATGCAAAGCTAGATTTTTCCTTGTTTATTCACACAAATTTGACTGCTGGAGGGTTTTTGCATGTGTTTATGTGCTACAAACAGCTAATGCACCAGGTGTTAGTTAACTAGCTAACGGTGCGCCAGCTGTGTGTGTAAGCAGTGTGCCTTTGCACAGTATATGCGTGTTCCAGCTCTGACTTAAACCGATTTCAAAACTCATCAGGAACTCAATTAGTTTCCGTCATTAGCCTCCAATTCTTTTCTCCTTGTCTCTGTATGTTTATGAGGTGGTGTATACTAGCTTGGGATGCTTTTTTTATTTTTTATTTTTTGCTAGCGTTTGTGATGGACATGTTTGTGCTTCTGTTCATGCTGCCTTGAGCAAACCTGTGTCCAGCTCTACACTGAATTTGTATGCAGTCACCCTGCCTTCGAAATTCGCTTTGCTTTCAGTCTGAACACACCCTAACAGTGTACAATTCACATTTGTACATATCTTTGTATTTTGATCTGCATGTGTGCATTGCTGCCAGTGACCGTGATTATATCATTAGTATGCATTTCATAAAATTGTACAAAGTTAAAGGTAATGCCCCAGGTTTTTTTTTAACTGCTACTATGAAGCCACTAAAAATAACTGAGTCACAAAAAACATACTTCCATTGCATCATTCATGTATTTTTTGGGTGAGTAAAAGCTGCTGTTCACTCTTTATCATTATGCATGTTGTTTACAGTTAAATTAAGAAGCATTTGACATGAAGTCAGCACAGTTTAAAATGGAGAAGAGAAAGCCAGGGACACAAAAGCAGGCAGTGGACAGAGTAAAACAGACAGTGTGAGAGACTGAGGTAGTGAAATGCTGCAGGAGCGGGAGACTTCTGCAGACAGCTTGTCATCGAGCAACCTTGTCCAGCGGAGCTGCCAGCGCGAGAGAGCACATTAGACATGCACGCTGAACTCTGAAGTGTTGTTTACCTCACACCCCCAACCAACCAGCCCTCTGCCTCATCTGACCTCTCAAAACCAGCTTTCCCTGCAGGCCCCTGTCCTTCAAATGTCACTGCAGGAGGGTGGAGGTATGTGTGTGTGCGTTGATGCGAGCGCAAACAAGTCTGTTTGAATGGCCCTTGCTTCATTTATCTGCAAGGTCTTTAAAAAATTGTCCTGTCATCTGAAATATTTGGGCGATAGCTCCAGTTTGCCTTTCATCTGCTGAAGAGAACAAGTGCCACCTTGAAACAAACTCCAGAGAACAATATCCAATACTCTCTGTTGATTACCTCTGATGGCAACACACAAAATGCCTGGAGACATTGAGGCCCCTTGGGTACAAGGTAATTTTTTCACCTCACCTGTAATCCCACTGGTCTCAGCTATAACCTTTATAGTGCTTCAGTACAGCAGAACAGTAACAAAGGATGTGGTTTTACAGCTGCATGGGGAGATCTCAGCCTGGATGTGAATACTCGTGTTTTTGTACATGTGAACTGGAGACAAATGCTCCATATGTGAGTCAAAGCTTTTTTTTCTTTTTTTTTTGAGGCAGAATAAATTTTCAATGAGTTAATATGCGTTTTCCCATTTTTGTCTGTTTTGTCAAAGATTTTTTTGGGATATCAAGAGAAAGACCACATCGTCAAAAGGATTCTTACCCCACAGTTTTGTCAAACTACATTACAGTCTGATAACGTTCAAACAGATGTGTCTCGTTACTGTGTTGGTTTCTGGGCACAAGAGGAAGGAAACTTCATACAGCATTCAACTTGCTTTCATACTGTATCACTGATGTGATCTTTCTTGCTTTTTCCTGTGGGAAGTGCAAAGCATTTTATTCAGAAAATGTGTAAAGGATGAGCTGTTTTTAGTGCTCCATCACCTAATAAGTCACAGCAGTCTCTGATGTGAGAGGTGACCTGAGTGCTGCTTTAAGCAGGGAACATGGACTGTGATATCAAGCTGCTATCGTTTCAATATAACAGACCCAGAGAAGACAGACTGAAGGGTCAGTAAGCATCATGGGAAATTCTCCCAAAGACAAATTGCTGAGAGCATTTGGCTTCAATATAAATGGCTGGAAAATAAAGACATGAGTTGTATTCTATTTTCTAATGTAGTTTTAGGGGATTATTATTATAAGAATGAAGGTGTAAAGTCATCTTCTCTCACTCTTAGCTTTCTTTCCTTTATTTATCTAAATAGGTCTGTGAAACCTTTACTCAGATGAACGTCTTTCCTGACACCCACATACATCAAGGCCGTGTAGGAAAGCAGCCCGTCAGCTCTACTGCCCAGGGAGTTGTCCAGGCCCATCCGTTGTATCCCATGCCCCAAGGAGAGAGACAGATAAAGGCAGGTTATGAAGGTGGCACAACAGAAGGATAAATGAGGTGCCACTGAATTGAGCTGATTATATAAGATCTGGGAAAATATCTGTCAATCTCTAGACCACATTAAGACTGGAATCTTAACTGGTTCCAAAGATTTTTGTTTTCATTTGACTGTCTCATAGTTGTTTGTCCCCCTCTCTCTGGCCCTCCTCTCTTTCCCATTATGATTCATCTTCACCATTCCCTCTCACTCGTATATACAGAAGCCTGGTTTCTTTTTCAGTTACTAACTATATTCTACTTTCATTGACTACAGAGGATCAGTTAAGCAGGTACAGTATCTACACATCTGTCTGTCTGCACTAATACAAATATGCAGTTGTCTCGTCTCTAAGACCTTTAACAACATTTACATATCAGTGTTTGTGGGTACACATGTAGACATGTACATGGGCACATGGCTTTCTAGCACACAGTGTGAATCAGCAGCAGTGTTTTTGCATGTCGTAGGATCAGTGCTAATGGCTGAGTCTTATCCCATCACAAACTATTCCCCGTGTCTCCTACCTCTCTCTCTTCTCCCTCTTTCTTCGGTTTTACCTCTGCAAAGTGAAGCCATTAGCAGAGAAAGCGAAGCTGTGACAGCTGAAACCGTGAGATTGGGAGCAGTGCTGACACCGCTAGTTTCAGCCTCGCTGCGCTTTCATTGTGATGGATGATCGACTGGTTTTCTCAACACCTGGCCCGCTGTTTTGTAAGATAATAGTGAATAATAATACAGTAACAATGTCAAGTGACTGGTTTATGCTGTGAAAGATTTATTCAAAGTGTGCTCTGGCAGTTCAGTCATATGTCGGGCTGTTATTTCAGAGATTTGAAATCCCAGTTCAAGCCGTCACATCTCTGCCTTGTTTGTATTTAGAACTCTGCCGGTGTTTCATTACATGAAAACTATTTTGAAGGTTGGCAAAACTCTGGTATAAGAAATGTTCTTATTACATTTACTCCTGAATTGTGTGATTAAATTAGAGCATCAGGAAGGTAAACAAATGTTGCTGACCTCTATTTCAGCTGACAAAGACAAAAAAGTTGGGGACAAAGTTTAAATAAACCCTGAACATGCACCCAGTTACTATACATAAGCTCATAGCTATAAATTTTACAACCAGTCAAAATGAGATAAGTGATCCTGAACCAAAGTTACAGTGACAAAAAAATGATACATTCATGGACCTATGGCCAGTAGGGGGCAGTAATGTAAGGTCAAGGATGCCAACTGTATAAAACACTACAGAATAAGAAGAAGAACACTAATTAAAAAGAAGTAAGCTAATAGGGGTTATGCGCAACTTACTTCCGTATACTGCAAAACAGAATCATCCGTTTCCGGTTTGCGACTAGTATGAAATATGGCACTGTTCTACTCAAGATGTCTCCAAGAACTACCAAAGATGAAGATCACGGATGTCCACCGAATATGCAGTTCGACGTCTAAAACACCGGGCAGCAAGCTGGATAAGGGGTTTAAGCTATATGCTTCTTCATACATCCACGACTACGAAGGTAGAGTTATGTATCGGTTATCTTACAAACGGAGATGTAGCTAAGCTAGTTCGTAAGCTAACTAGCTAATGTTATCGATATTTACACCGAGCATCTGTCAGGTACACCAAAATAATGTAATACACTACCAGAAAGCTAATCGTAACTAAGCTTGTGTGATGGAAATGCTAAATTCGCAAACTGCTGGGCTTCTAATTTTTCACATACCATGTCCAAGGCTGATGGTTCTGGTCTAGCATAGTCATGACACTGAAGCAGAAATCCGACGTCCATCTGTTCCTCCTCAATTTCCTCCGGCCGTTGCATTCTCTCCCACACGCTTGGTCTACTTGCAGGCAGAGAGTAGTCATTCCAGACAAACAACACTGGAACGGTTCCTTCTTTCATCTGTGGAGACGAAGTGTCTACTACATACTGTTGTCGTCCTCTTAATTACAAGATTATCACGTCGTACATTACGGATCCATATTTTTCCTAAGGTTTCATCCTTAGGGAAATGGTGAAAGCTTATAACTGAATTGAACTTCCCTGACATCGCGCATTGAGGTACGCAGCAGAAATCACTGTTTGGATGATCCCGCTTCTGGTATTTGTGTCTTTTAAAAAACTTTTTTTTTTGTTTGTTTGTTTTTTTCATCTACGAACTAATCAAAAAGAACGTGTTTCGCGTTACTACCGTTGTGTCACCCGCGTTTTGCGGAAAAGCGGAAGTGCGCTGATCCGTTTTCCGGTTTAGTCACGTGACGTTCCGCATTACCCCTATATAGGCATTAAACAAAATCAAGTCTTTCAATAGAAAACCTCCTTGGTGATGCAAGAAAAAGCATATACCAGTGGCCAGAGAAGTACTTCAAGGATACAGGGCTACAGACAATTTGGGTTTGTTTATTTTTCCTCTTGGCAGTAATGCACTTATAAATTGGTTTTCCAACTGCCGATCAAAGTAAGAAGAAGAAGAGGAACTGACGAAAAAGAAGAAGAAGAAACAGCTAACAGAAATACTTATGGTTTTGGACTTTTTTCTACTTCACTGTATGTTTTTGGAGTAATACTTGGGCAGATTTTTTTCTTCATTGGATTCTTGTGATAAAAACATTGTGCAGCTATGACCCCTTGAATACACATCTTGGCTACAAACAATGGAGAAAGGTAAGGACCGACCTTTCTGATGTGCTCGCTGTAGCATACGGCTGCAAAATGATAAAACTGTTGTTGCAGTGTTAGTGAAACCATGAGACTTAGAGCTTTACAACAGTTCATAGCATGTCATACTTCTTTTTGGATGAAGTAAGGGTGTAGTGTGCCACCAGTGGGACAGTAGCTGGTGTTGTGTCGAGATCACCTGAACCCCTAACCATAACCACTGAGAAAATCAGTTTTAACAGGGAGAAACCCAGGGGAACAGCACACGACCTGTAAAAGGATTAGTTAAATAGGCTGAAATTGGCATTTTTATAACACTTCATCAAATGATATAATGAAAACAGTGCAAACATGGTAGGGGTTACTCATATTGACGGGGCCATGGAGGATTACCTGTCCTGCTTTACAACAAGTTTCAACTCATTGTTTGGTCATCTGGTCCAAAACCCTACTGTCTTGGTTCATTCTCCGTTCCAGTCATTTTCAGTTGCAGCAGGCTCTAAAATCCCACTACTCAGCATCAACCAGCAGACAGACACAATTAGCAGCTAGCTGTTGAAGGCCAAAAGCAGCGACAGGGTGAATAGTAGACATATCTGCCAGGTGGACAGAAACCCAACTTGAAATTAATGATTATGATCATTAATGATTGTCTTTCAAACTGTTGGATGTGTGACTAAGTGTATGTTTGCTAACATGCTGCCAAATCAATTTTAAAGGTGATAAGTCCATGCTGTATTCACTTGTTTCCATTGTCCTCAAGTAGCCAAAAGCAATCAGCCAGATGAAATTTCTCCTTGGGACAGTTGACTGTGACATTCATAAGAATTTTAAGGTTGCCTGCATGAGAAGGTGCAGTGCTGTAGTTTATTTACTCTTTTCCATAAATGCTTCCATTGACTGACATAATCTCTGCAAGTGTGTGTGTGTGTGTGTGTGTGAGTGAGAGGAAGTCAGAAGGTATCCTATGACCAGGAACTAACTCCTCTTGTAATTGTACCCAGGAACACACAGCCGCACAGTATCTCCAAATAACTGTTTACAGAGAAACCATCTAAGTACTAGGTGCAAAAATTAAATCATCATAAGGAAAAGTTACACAAGGATACTGGATTATGCAGCTTTGCTGAATTTGTGATCAATTTTGCTTTGCTGCATAAATTATAGTGCACAAAACAATGTTTATCTTTTGTCCTCCATGTCAGGGAGTATCTACAGCAACAAAGGCAGCAGTTCATTTATTTGATATTTAGTCGGACCTTTAATTATGGCAACCTTGTAAAATTAGCATACATTTCAAAGCAGTTATAGTTGGGCAGTGCACAAACAGGGGGTCCTTTTAGCTTTGACTTTCTACTTACCTCAACATGTTATTGTGCTGTAAATATGTAAAAACAGAAGAGAATTTTAAATGAAGATGCTTCAGTCACTGTATTTAACCACTCACTGGTTCAAGAGAAGCAACTGAGTCAAGGTTTTTGAAATGCGTCAGAGGGACTGAGTGAATTAATGGTACATTTGCCTGTCACAAGGGCAAATTATGAAAATGCTCATGAATTTCAAAGACATTAATTCTGCCTGAGTGTATCTTAAATATAATCAAGTCTTCTGTATGAACTCACTCTTTTCCTCAGACTGCACAGTGTGCATGAAGATATTTATGAAACAAAATATTGGCATTT